TCGGTTGCTGCAGATCCTGGGCAGGATGATCTCTGGCGTCAAAGATAGTCCCAAAATGTTCTATGTGATTCATATCGAGGTTTCCTGCGGGCCAGGGTAATCTTCGACGGCATCGAGGTATAGCCCCAGCTGACACACAACATTTTCTCAACATTGTGGCATCGTCGTGACACAATGTTGTCACAACGTTAGTATTACATCATTTTATAACGTTATTTCACAACGTTGCAGCAAAGTTACATATATACGTTGTCAAAACGTTGTGTATCGACTATTACACAATGTTATGTGTCATTGTATCTGAAACTTTGATGCGACGTAAACTCTTTCCCGAATATCGTAAGAACAAGAGCGTATATCGAATTATTCGTAACTTCTGCAGAAAACAAGATCGTAGTGCATTATGTATATTACACTTTTGTGATTACTATCCCATAAATGTACTGAAGTCACGGTAACGTAATTTTCATTCGTACTGACAACGTTAATATCACGTCACTGTGCAACGTTACTCACAACGTAATAACTACATTGCAAATTTACGTTGTGGAAAAGTTATGCTTTGAACTCCTCACGACGTTATATCAACGGTGTTTCAACAAAGTTTTCTGTAACACTTTCACTCTGAGATTCTTTCTTTACCATTTGACCCTTGACGATCATTGTTAGCATTGGACTTCAGTAACCAATGTTTGTCGTAAGAGGCGACAACGGGATCGGGTGGTCAGGCTCACTGACTTGGTTGACACGTCATCGTATCTGAATTGCTTAGATCGATGCTGTTGATCATTTTATAGTCGGGTCTAGACTCGATTATTTACAGACCGCCGTGATATAGCTGGAATATTGCTGAGTGCGGCTTTAAACAACCATCCAACCAACCAACCACAAAATCGTATACAAAATAGATGGAATTGAACGACCGCATTAATAAAACATCGATCGCAACTTTACTCCAGCATATTTGACGATTCAAATTGCGACAATTTTATCCCAGTGTTATCTGCTGGAAATAAATTGAACTGCCAGTCTAATAATCAGAAATGATATTGATCCGTGAAAATGATGTTCAGTGGCATATGAAAATACCTTTGTTTCCATATTATATTCCTGAAGTAATAATAGACTTCAGAATTCGAAAAACGCATAATTGAAGCATTGAACCATGTGTTTTGATTAACATATGTTCTTGTCATTTTAAACTCAATTAGCAGATATGTCATATACTATTTGAACATAATATTCGGAAAATCACAGTGGAACTTAAAAATTGATTTTGTTCCCATTTGTTCTATTGTCATACCAATAATGGTTATGGATTGTGGATTTTTGTTATTTCCAGGTAATGAGTATATATCCTTGTTATAAAAATTCCAATAATGCATTTTAGGAACACACGTGTAAGTAATGAGTAACCATAACTTTCAAAACTGAATAAAAAAATAACTGTACATGTAGTTAAAACACTTCTCATCTTACCTTTTACATAACCTCTGTCGACATGTGAGGAAATTTAATCTTGGATGGGTGGTTGTTGGATTTCACCCATGACATGAACAATCTAGAAACATGCAAAACTAACTAACATCATTCCTTGAATAAGTGGCAAAATACATATCAGTCCATTTTATTGTTGTACTAAAATAACAAAGATTGTTGCCGGTGTTGTAGCTGAAAATTTACTAGCAACAGCTTTAGAGTCAAAGCCATCTCAAGACTTGTTGAAAGAGGTTTATTGAGCATTGGGCTCGAATTGTTGCGAGAGTTGCATGTTAGAGGTTTACAACTTGTTCAGCTTGACCTGAGCTACTTTACATATGCATGACACGGGAGGTCAAATGGCACAAACGGCAGATCTGGTTATTTTCATTAAATAGGGGTGCAGAGAATGTTATTAATGTTGCGTTTGTGTGAAGCATGCATACATAGATTCGTTACAGAACTTGTCCCGGAAAACAACACTTCTGAAAACCCCCAATCATGTCATGTTGTAATTGAATTGTTTATAGAGTCATACGCTATCTAGTTTGGTTTGCTAACTTTACAGACGTCAGTTTTTTCACAATCCGATTCACTCTCGCTCTCACTCTCTACACCCAGTTCAATTATCACTTTTTCTATTTCATGTTCAACTGCAAATTTCTGTCCCAGTAGTTGCTTTCCAAATTTTCAACATGGGCACAACAATCAGTCCACTCGTTTACACCAATCGCCTGACACAGGTGCACCCCTTCACAATAATAGACCCAACCAGTTGTGACACGGTCACGAAATTCATTAGTATTCACTTGATCAGGTCAAGCTGAACAAGCTGTAGAATTGTAGCTATTCTATAGTACTGTCGGAAATAGAAAAATACTGTTTTTAGGCTGTGACTCTGTATCCCTAAAATTGACACAATTGCAAATAGCAAATGTCGAAATAACCCACTTCGGCCTAACTGGGCGTTCAGTGGGATGCGTAATACGATATCAAGAAAAGCATGTTTACTCGTAAAATCGGGCAAAACTTAGAAAATATACGAATAGCTGCTGAAAACAATAGATCAGACTATAGATGGCAATTAGGTCGCTCAGCCAGGTATGACGACGGACCGTCGACTCACCTGGCATGAAATGCACGTGCTGCCTACAGGCACAAGGGGTCATCTCAAAGATATTTTGTGCTTTTTCATGTGTGTTGACTACGTCTCATCTACTGATTAACATCTTACGTGTCTTTCTTTCATAAAGTTTATGTTGAGATATGTAAGAGAGTATATATGATACCCGAAAACCATAGAAACGCATCGTAGTATATAGGTGGCATGACCACCCGAAGATCGACAGGACTGGATATTATTTGTAAATTGTTATGATGTGCCGTGGTCCTCCCCAGTATAATTGCCCTAAAGGATTATCTTATCTTAACTGATAACTCTATCCCCAAGCCCGACCCCAGGTTTTGCTTTTGAGGCGAACCGCATTGCTCATTTCTGCACTAATTTCCCCTCAGTTAAGTCCTTTTTCTCCGTTTCCTATCTCTCTACCACTGAGACTGTAGTTAGGCCGAACATAGTTTAACAGATATTTCACACTTTCACATATCAACTACATAGATAGCAGAGATAAATGAGAAAATACAGTTTTTTTCTATTTCCGTCAATTCTATAGTTCCTTGACTTACCGCTAGCAATTATAAGCTTGAGTTGCAGCACGAAACTTGATTTTGAGAGCTTGGCATGTAGTTGGTGCTCGAGGACAAGAGCTAGACTGTTTCTTCCTTTATGAGTGTTTTGCGTGTTTTGAAAACGATTTTAGAATAGGAATAGTATCCTTGGAAACTGTTGTGCTTAAAAGAACAGAAACGTAAATCGACAGCTACAGAATTCGGATACCACCCCTATACCCCTGAAACGATGGAGCGTAACCCCATCGATATTAGCGGCTGCCACCCCAGTTGTCGCCGTAGTCCTCACTCGTTTCCCTTTCCTCGATAATTTCTCTCTGACCTGGCGCAGTAAGGTGGTCTTGCCTGTGCCCGCTTGGACCAAAATCAACAGATTATGACATTCGATGGACCCTCTCACTGCCCTGTCTGCCATGTTTGTTTGTTGTTTTTCACCCACACACGTGGAAATTGACCAATGACAGCCGTTTTGTGTTCCGAGCCATTCCGGGATTTTCGGACAGTGTCGATGTTTACCGAAGGGCGGTCAGACGTTTGTTCAAAACGGAGGTTAGTGCTAATGAGAGGGTCAGTGGTCAATTATGAAATGCAGTTAGACAAACTGAATACGATGAGCAGAAGGCCAAAAGAGTAATCTACAAGCTCAATGCATTGTCTTGTGAAAAAAGTAAGATTTGATTGAACGCACGTTAAAATAGTCGGGCTGTCCGGCTTTCGATCAGGCTTTTAGCATCGCGAGTGTCAACCCTTGTGTATTTTATGTAACGAGTGTAGCAGGAGAATTTTCTAAAAAATATCCATTTCTTCACCGATTTCGTTCAAATTTGAAACATAAGTTACTCCTAACATATAAAAACAATATACGGTTGCAAAATACTAGATTATTGTTCAAACAGTGATTCGAACCCGTGTTACCAATTTGTTTTACAATACATCAATCAGTTTATGTGTAAACAATAGGTTTATACAGTATGGAATATTTTGCAAAATTTAGTTCAGAAGAGTTGCTATTTTTACATTAGTGATTCTAAACTTTTGATACGAAGTATATGTTCTGTCAGATGTGACAAGTTTGTATGTATTTTATATTTTAGCGAACCCGTGATAGGGTTAGGATTGGTCTTCGGTAGCCCATGCTTGTCGTAAGAGGCGACTAACGGGATCGGGTGGTCAAGCTCGCTGACTCGGTTGACACATGTCATTGGTTCCTAATTGCGTGGATCAATGCTCATGCTGTTGATCACTGGATTGTCTGGTCAAGACTCGGTTGTTCTCAGACAGCCGCCATATAGCTGGAATATTGCTTAGTGCGGCGTAAAACTAAGCTCATTCACTCACTTGTTTTAACGGTATGTTTTGCGCAGTTTATTTCAGCGTTATGCACTGCGCAATCTTCTGCGTCGAATCACACCGGAAGCAGCTGGTTTTGGGTTTTAGTTTTGTCATCGATCGCAACAGCGATATTTTTCATGAGAGTAATTTGGTTCTAAGGCGTTGCATGCCATACTCCTATTCCCCATGGTGTAAGTACATACTCAATATGTTTAATAATGTTTTGCAGTCCAATTTAATCCATATTTCTATCATTTAATGTAAATGAAGCATTCATAAAATCTCTTTCTGCTAAATTTGGGTAGGAAACAGTGTGTATTTTGGCTCACGTGTGTAGATCTTTAGTTTGTAATATGTTTAGGCAATATTAGTAAATATCTGTTTTCTTGTAGCAATTTACCGATTGATGTTGAGTGATACTCTCTCGGCAACTGTCAGCTCGGAATAAAAAGCTTACAGCACAGTATATATGAAGTGCACACAATGACAAAAAAGTCCTGTCCACACGAAATATTTATTAATAAGTGAATGCTTATCTCTCTGTGTGACTACATGGCTGTGTGACATCTGTACACATACACAGTCAATGGTAGTCATCCAGATAGTTGGATGCTACAAAATACATTTGTTTAGTGAAAGTGAGCTAACCGTCGTGCATTACTCATGTAAATGGTGCCTGGGTGTGTTCTTTCTTTGAATCGAAAAGAGATGCATATGAAGGAGGCTGTGGCATGTTTGTCCTTGGTGTGTAGGAAGGTGGTAATCCAATATCCGTTTGTTGTCCGCTATATGTAGGGCAAAGTGGTGGTGCAAAGTCTGTCTGTTGACCACTATACGTGGTGCAAGATGGCGGTGCAAGGTCCGTTTGTTGACCACTATATGTGGCGCAAGGTGAAGATGCAAAGACCGTTCGTTGTGGAGGGCCCATTACGCTATTGCCCGCAAAAAAATTCGGATAGGTTAAATTGGTTGACCTCATTGTAACCGGAGTTTGTCCTTGTACTAAATTCTGAGATGGAGGAATTATGTCCGTGACATCATCTGCCATCTGCTCCTCATCTGGGTTTCTTTTCCTTTTGATACAACAACAACATATAACCACCATTCCGATAGGTAAGGCGAGGATACCAAGTATTTTTCCAACAAAGCCATCAGCATCGTAGTCGTCATGATCGTGTGAACTCGAAACTGGTGGATCTATGAAAAAAATGAAACACTAAACATGGTAAACAAAGCCCGAGGTTTGAACCTATCGGACGTGAACACACCAATCAGCCACGTGATCAAACGCGGTGATGTCAGTAAATACATATCTTTACATGATGCAGGTCTGACGACATGGTGTAAAGAGCTGAAGTGAGTGAGTGAGTGAGTTAACATTTAACGTCACATCGGCAATATTTCAGCCATATCGTGAAGAGCTGAAGAATCTGTGAGTGAGTGGGCGAGTTAATATTTATCGTCATATTTCAGGACGAGAATGATCATGTATCATACTAAATAAAATAAAATTAGAAATTAAAAACCTTTTGACGATGAACAGTAAAAATACTAGAGTATCACAGATGACATAAAACTAGCATGTAATCACAATACGATACAGAGAACAATACAATATAAAAACAGGCAATGGATCGCCATCTACTGAAGGGAGGTCACCATACTAGGATCCGTGGGGACTTACAGCACTTTTACATCAAACAGATCGTACAAAACTACATGGATGTCTTTAATAAGTGATTTTATGGTTAGAACAAGAAATAATGAAATATAAATAAATCATTTTTGTGAGGACAGACAACTGACTAAACCTAATGTAAAGAATATTATCATGTACGGAAATGGCATTCATATATCAAAATCATCTACCTAAATCGGATTCTATAGGAATATGAAAACCAACAATTATATTGAATTGTATTTCCAAGATTTGCCCAATAAATACAAATTTTGATTGAACCAGGTTACATCTTCTTGTCATTGTGTACCAGGTGACTAAGGCATAAAGTAATATTATTTGCCCGATAATGCAACTTATATATGTTAAATCATGTTGAAGGTGGATTCCATTATTCAACTGTCAGTATCTTAATGATTTAAGAAAAAATTCTTCTAAAAATATGATAGTCATACACACCATTGCATTTAAAATGATTTGTTTCAAACTAAGAATGGCTCAGTTCTTTGTAGATTTAAGTTGTAATATTGTCGCTATTGTCTGTATTATTGACCTCTGTTGACTCCTCATTATGCTATGTATATAGCCTGAAGTGAAATATTTCAGTTGGAGTTCCGTTTTTTAACGGCTGCTGGTGTATCCCAGCAAGGGGTCGAACCACTGACATTCTGTTCTTTCTACTAGAAGGTGTATATTATTACCGACACGTACTATTTTGTAATATTAATAAAACATTGAACGCCTACCTGTTTGATGAGGACAAACTCCACTGTACTTGTCACAGGTGCCATAACTACACGAACATGCGTGTGAACAGTATTGGCCATACCAACCATCTTTACACTCGAAATAACACAGGCCCGTGCGATAACATCTCTTGCAATTCGGATTACATTTTTCACACTCTCCATCAGTCTCGTAATAGCCTTGCTTGCAAACAAAACAACTATTGTAGCACAATGCACAGTTCTCCGTACAATCTGAAAAGGGACGGACATTTCTCAGTGTATAGACAATGATAGACTAACATTAATGAAATGGGACTGAACAATGTGATGATTAAATCGTATTATTAATCAAGATGGTGACATCAGTGAGAGGATATTTTGTCTATGGGGTCAGTTGCAATCACTGATGATGACAGCTACTGTGACCATTCTGGTGATGAGTGGTGAGTATATTGATATTTTTCGAAGGACGGTGGGGATGATAGGGCCAATTGTCGTTCCTAATGTTAACATGGTAAAAGTATCAATGGCCAGTAATCCTCACTTTTAGATCTTGTATGATCAACTGAAGAGATGGAAGGTACTATGAAGTACCGAGAAGAAGGGGATTCCTGACCCGGCATCTAGACTTGGTGATGATAGCTAGGTCGTGACGTCAGGGATGTTTGTGTTAATGGAGTAATTGATGTGATTGTAATGCGGAACCCACAGTACACAAAATAAATCAGAATACACGATACTGAAAACTGTTGCACATTTTAAGCTGAAACACCGACGCTGAAGGACATATACGATTTGTGTGACACCAAAGCGATCGGATTAATGAAACGGTAAACCTGGTGTATCCTTGACAATCAAAGGGACAGTATCGGAGCCAATCCATAACGCATTTAAAGCACCGAGAACTTCTAAGCAGCATGTGTGCATCATGTCCCATAGGATATAACAATAACGTTTTTCATCTGTTGCGACAACATGCACCACCCACCACACCCTACCCCACCACTCCCTACCCCAACCCTCATACATATGCCCTAGAATAAATGGTGACATACTTGCTGCTGCCCCTTCATCAAAAAGCGCCACCGTGAGTCCCAGAACAAGGTACCACCTGGACATCTCTTGCTGTCACTCTGTGCTGTCAGATCTGTGAACGAAACATCCACTGGTGTAAATGAGCAGCTTCGTGCACAGTATCTCCAGTACATCTCTGTGCTCTGAGGGGAAAGCTGTTTTGGGATGTTATAACTCATGTGCGATTCTCAACTGTTTCTTTGCGTTGATTCACGCTGGTAATCTGATACGGGACAGTTCATGTTTATCACATCGACGGTTCATTGAAAATATCAATTTAGTTACCAGACAACAAACAACCAGTCGACAAGTTGTCGGTTTATCATTAGAACAAAGTATGTTGCTTTTTCGTTGGCGCCTGGATGTGTTCCCCTGTTCAAGATAACATTGATTAATCAAACAATGTATTAACGTTTAATCCTTTGATTGAGGGTTTGCAACTCCACTAACAGCTATTCTCCTGCTGCGCAGCATATGACATGACGTGTAATACATACAGCAAATCAAATCTTTTTATAACCCAATCTCAGAATGTACCAGACATGACAAATGCCAAATGCGAACCTGACAGATATCATTGACACCTCTCAAGGGCAGGAATAAACAGTATTGAGTGCAAGTTATCATACTTGTTATAAAGTCATCAACTTAACACCAAGTGAATAACGGCAATTACCCGATGTAGAGCTTATACCATAAAACATAATGACAACAAGGAAGCAGTAAGTGATGTATCGTATGCAATTTGCGTCAAAAAATAAGAGTGGTCGCTGTTTTGAGTACATAAACTTAACTTCACTTATGCAAAAATAACACATACACGTAATTGCTGTATAACTGCACATACATTTACACATACACGTATGTAGTTGGCTGTATAACTGTACATACACACTTACACATACACGATATTGCTGTATAACTGTACATACACATTTACACATACACGTATTTGTTGTATAACTGTACATACACACATACACGTAATGTCTGTATAACTGTACATACACATTTACACACATACACGTAATTGCCGTATAACTGTACATACACACATACACGTAATGTCTGTATTACTGTACATAAACATTTACACACATACACGTAATTGCTGTATAACTGTACATACACACTTACACGTACACGTAATTTCGAAATTCTGTATAACTGTACATACACATTTACACACATACACGTAATTGCTGTATAACTGTACATACACATTTACACATACACGTAAATTCGAAATTCTGTATAACTGTACATACACAGTTACACACATACACGTAATTGCTGTATAACTGTTCATACACATTTACACACATACACGTAATTTGAGCATAATTGTACAAACGCACTTACACATACACGTAATTGCTAACTGAACATATACAGAAATTCCGTATATCTGTGTAAATGTGTAACTGTACATACACACTTTCACACATATTCGACTTGAAATGTGTTCGTAAGCATAATACGATCAAGTACAAGATTTCAAGGGGATTCCCCTTGTTTTAAAAAAACCCTTTCCCTTGCTTGTCCGAAGTGCAATTTGCTGCTTGGCTGATGCTAATAAGCATCAGGTAATTATTACACTGTCACCGACTGTACGAATAAACGAGTTTTGTTTCTCTTTACTGAGCCGTTGACCAATATTCACCACCGCCCCTATCCCTTGGGTACTTATTCAACGAACAGAAAACGTTTATCCAAATCATACACTTTGTATTTCATCACACCAATGAGTTATCGCAATCTCCGCAAACCTCTCCCTTTCTTATTGATATGGTTTAGTATCCAGAAGTATGCGATCAATAAACTATTACAGTCCGTCACATTTTTAACCGAACAGCGCTAATATACAGCGAGAATATCCGAATTACAACACTCTTTTTATCTTTATTTTGATTGTTATGATTTCACATTTTGGCGCCAACACGTAAACGTTTCCGTGACCACATACACTCCCTCAAACTGCCCACATTCTTATTCGTCTGAACAAGGCTAGTAAAACCAACGTTCAATGAAACCGAATGTCTATCCGAGTTTTATTCGAACTATATCCCTTTGACCGAAGATGGCATCACAAATTGTCTGACACAGGATGACAACAGATCGTTGTTTGTACCTCGTATTCTCATCATTTTATATAACACCTATTCATTGACTATTGTTTGCCAGTATCCTTACCTAAAACGACTGAACAACGATTAAAATCCGGATTTTGGTACTGCCAACGAAACAGCTCCCGTTCTTCAAGCGACGTTGTTGGTGGCGCGTCGTCGTCGCCAGAGTTAGAACAGTTAGAGGATCCTTACAGACTTTTCTACGTACATTTCACAATTGTGTATGATGCACCGCGGAGACAGCTTACTGCACAAAGGTTATGGGACGGCCATTCCTTGATGTGAGGTCCAGGAAACCGAGTATGGGCGGTGTTAACCTTCGATAATGACCTGTGAATAATTATGGCAACGTGATTCTGAGGCAGGCGGTGTTCCGCCAATAGTTCCCTATGAATAATGATTCCGATTGGAAACTGAACGTGTATAAGTAACATTGCATTTATGAGTGAGTGGGTAAGATTTTACGTCACATGGGTATTTCAGCCACATCGTGACTAAATCAAGTTCTAGAATTATAATAATTAAAGGTAAATTATAAACACCTGTCGACGAACGACAGTAAAACGACTTGATGATTAAAGATATAAATGTAAAACTATTAAATAAATCTAAAACATTTTAACTATACATAACATGACAATATATATAGAGAGATGGTGTTGATTTAAGTCTCACTTTCTGTACATTGTCATATAATACAAACATTTTGATGAACTTTAAAGGAACAGAAACTACCCGTTAGGTTATCAGAGACTAAATAGTCTAATATTAAAACTAATGAAAAACATTATAAACATACAATATGTACAAACATAAGTTAACTTAACACGTACAGGTATGCATACATACTTACAACTGTCAGTCACACATACAAACACATATGCATGCTTATACATAAATTACATACATACATACATACATACATACATACATACATACATACATACATACATACATACATACATACATACATACATACATACATACATACATACATACATACATACATACATACATACATACATACATATACACACCCATACAAACGCACCTACACGTACCAACACACAGACACACACACATTACATACATACATACATACAATTACATACATACGCACGCACGCACGCACACGTACATACATACACACTTACAAAAATACACAGGTATTATAATCATACATTACATACGCACATACATCCAGATACAGGTATGTTGCATACAATACCATTTAACACAATGCAAACAATACAATGAAATACAATACAAGACAATATACGGTTGCATACGTACAGTTTATACAACACATCATATATATACACCATGTGATACAGTCATCCAGTATTAATTGATTTGGAGCAGTACAAATGAATGTAAAGGTAAAATATTAACATTTTAAAACTTAAGATACAAGTTGTGTATAAAGGTTAAGATAATGATTGACGCCGTTTATACATGCTTGTTACTGTCTCACAGAGGTGCTGGACTATGTCTGGTGTGTTTAATAGATGCGTAAATTTAGTAACTGCAGATGAGTTGTTGAAGCGTGGAAAAACATCAGAGTTTTGCATTGTTGAAAACAGGTCGTATCGAGGGTCGTTGTACACATCAAAATCTACAAGGAAATGGATTTCACTTCCTATTTTATCCGTGCAAAAGGGACACACCCTAGCGTTGAGAGATACTGTGGGTCGAGTGAGTGAGCGAGTTAATATTTAGCGTCACATCGGCAATATTGCAACCATATCGTGATGAGAACAAATCAATATCAAAATAATGATTTAGAACGTACAAAAACTGTCATCGAAGGACAGTAAAAATACTAGATTATCAAAGCTCTTAATTTAAAACTAGTATGCTATCATAAAAATAAATCACTAGAGACAACAGTACAATATAAAAACGGGCTATAGATCACCAGCAACTGAAGGTTGATCACCATACTAGGGACCATAGGAACTTACAGGTACTTTAGCTACCTGCATGGACGCTAGCTGGATTTATATCAACTCTTCAGCAGCTGGCGATTGTAGTCAGATTTAACCAACATACTACAAGATCACAAAAATACTACATTTAAAACATCTGGTATATTTAAATTTCCTTTGAATGTTTCACAGGGGCGTGTCGCGTTTAAAAACAGCGTAGAAAGACACATAGGTATATAGACCCTACCCTAGTACTATATAAAAGGAAAGGCATGTAACGACGAAACCAACCCCACCTCAATCAAAGCTAGATTGCACCTAGTAAAATATTTTTAAGGCCCGCCTAGGTCTACGGATCGAAAGCGAGATGATTTCCCTACAAAATGAGCTATAAATGATCACAATCGAATTATTATTTCAAAAGTTATACGCCACGACTCACCGAAAACAGCTACCTCCGCAATTCCAAGCCAAAATCATGGATCAGCCAAGACAGCAAAAACTCACCTTTTGAATTCGTTTATTAATTCAAGGCACGTTGACAGCACCTATGTAGGGCTAGATTCGATCGGCAGCGGTATTCCACGGCCCAAAACCTTTTTGCAACATCTACAGATCATTTCCTCGACAGTAAGCTGGCATTTTCTCCAAAATCACCGGCAATCATACTCACTTGTCGGCCATAGATGACCTTGACATTCAAGTCACCTGAGCAGTAAATTGGTAAGAATAATATTAGAGGTTAAATATTTATAAATATAATTTCCGAAAAATGAATCAATACTAAATGCATTTTTATAGCATCTAAAATTATTCTTACCAATTTACTGTTCCGTACATCATCCAGAATAGAAGGAATATTGCAAAGTTCTTATTTCGCGCCCATTAGCAAACAGACAAAAAATCTTACAGTATATTTTATTTTCCACCAATCGGATGGCCCGAGTCAGTTTGTGCGGATCTGCTCAGGTCACTTGAATGTCAAGGTCATCTATGGCCGACAGGTGAGTATGACTGCCGATGATGTTGGAGAAAATGCCAGCTTACTGTCACATACTGAATCACTGTGTAATTGTTTTGATCATTCAATTGTGTTTTACATACAACTTATAAACACTTCCCTCACAGAGAACGTGTGAATCCAAACTCTATCCTTTCCAGCCAGTTGTCTTTCGTCTATATTGGTGTTTTCTTCCTTGGTTTACTTCAAATCAAATGACATATTATGTACATAGTGATTATGTTCTTTCCCCAAAAATTGAAACGATCAAACATGATAAGTTACCAGACAACACGATCATGTTCATGCGACGAACTGCCCGTGCTTCACGCGCAGGACCCACTGAGAGACGATACACGTATACGCGTGCTCACAGTTTCACTGGATGTGTTGTGCTATGTTGTGGTCTGTGTATTTCTCTGTCTATTCGGATTCTCACGGACCTATACTTCACGGACAATAAGCAAACGTGTGGGTATGAAAGCAGTTATATGTTATATATTGACGTTACTTGTCATCATCCGCGGATACTTGAAATATGAGTACTCCATGCCAAATCACCAAGCATTTTTCATATTTTTCAACTTTGTGTTATATATTTCTTATCTGCGTTCTTGTTGACAACCCGTTACTGTTATTTATGGCTGTAAATCTTACACTGTGCAATATTACACTCACGTCTTGCTCATACCCAAGTATGCTTCCTTACTACTTTGTCAGACATTTTGCTTCATGCACTGTTGGTAACCACAACCGTTTAGAATATGACTAAGATATACAATAACCGATTTGAACTGCAGAGGTTTGAATAATAAGACAAAACAGAAAGGAGATGTTTAGATTTCTTAAAAAGAAGCACTCCTCGATATATTGTCTGCAAGATGTTCACATTACTGAAGATATGGAAACGTTAGTAATTGAAGAATTGGACTGTAAGCAATGCTATTTCAGTTCTTACAGTAGTAATTCAAGGGGTGTTGCTATCCTTTATTCTAAATATGTAGACTGGGTTCTTGACAATGTTTTAAAAGATAATGATGGCAATACTCTAATAGTCGAAATCACAATGGATAAACATAAGTTAGCTATCATCAATCTATATGGCCCAAATGCTGACAACCCCAACTTCTACGAATGAATTTGAAACACCGATAAAATCGTTTAATAAAAGAGTGATCATATAGTTATTTGTGGAGATTGGAATGTAGTTCAAGAATACTATAATGATACATAAATTTACAAACACAGCAACAATCCTAAGGTAAGAGATCGAATATTAAACTTAAAAGATGAGATTCACCTAGTTGATCCTTGGCGAGAGAGATATCGAAACGAAAGAAGATATACCTGGCGTCAACCAACGCCACTGAAACAGGCTAGACTAGACTACTTTCTTGTATCGCATAATATGATCCCTTCCGTTACAGACACAGTAGTAGAACAAAGCTTCATGTCGGACCACTCACCGATATCAATGTCGTTTACTCTAAATGAAATAGACAAGGGAAAAGGCTTCTGGAAATTCAATAACTCTCTTTTAAGAGACAAAAACTACGTTGCACTTATTAAAAAACAATATTGGAAACCATCTTACGGTATAAGAACCACGATCCTACTGGTAGCGAATTTACTAACGATGACCAGATATTTTTGTAAATGTTACTACTTCAAATAAGGGGTGAAACTATCAAGTATTCATCATATACAAAGCGCCAACGGGAAAAAGATGACACTGAACTAACATCTAAGATTACTCAGCTTACTGATGATATGGATGAGACTAGTGACATTGAAGTCAAGTCTAGAATACTAAACGAAATTGAGGGGTTAAATGAAACACTAGAAAATATAAATAAGATAAAAACTCAAGGGCTTATAAGAGCAAAGGTAACCTCTAAAGAGAATAAGGTGAAAAGCCTACAAGATATTTCCTATGAATAGAATCTCGAAATTGTCTGAATAAATCTTTCTCTTGTTTGCAAAATAATGCTCGGTACATTTTAACACACCAACAGGAAATATAAGAAGAAGTCCGAAAGTTCTATTCCAAACTTTATCATAAGAAAAGTGATGTAATTAATATCGATCTTGATAACTTATTAAAAGATTGCAATGTACCCAAGTTAGACCAAAAAACTTGTCATCATCATTAGAGGGCAAACTGGAATACGAGAAACTGCTTACAGCACTAAAGCGTTTGAAGAATGAAAAAGCCCTGGACCCGATGGCTTCACAGCTGAATTCCTGAAATTAGTTTGGTCAGATATCAATAAATTCTTAATCAGATCAATAAACCAATCTTACGATAAAGGTTAACTGTCTATAACTTTAAAAAGATTAATTGCATACCAAAATGTAACAAACCAAAGATCTTTTCGAAAAATTGGCGACTG